TCCGTTTCTGAATAAGTGCAAGGTCATCTGCATATTGGATGCAATTTATAGGTTTCTCGCCCATTAGAACTGGTTTATCAATTTGATCCCCAAATAATTCTGGCAGATCGTTCAGAAAAATGTTAAATAAAGTTGGTGATAAATTGCAGCCTTGCTTAACTCCACAGATAGACTGAAATCCATCAGTTATACCCTCTGACAATTTAATTTTATATTTAATATTTATTACTGAAAGATACTCCTCATATGAGCAGTCATTTTTTAACATTCTGTATGTGCGCAATTTGTTTTTTTGGTTTTTTCCTTTGTTGTCATCCTGCATTTTTTCTTGACTGTTAATTTTGAATATTTTTCGGAGATTGTCCATAACCTTTTTTGTTATCGAGGCAGCATTATGCAGATATTGGTTATCCCACACATTGTTTTCATTTACATATTTTAGTATGCTTTTCACACCAGTTACCCAGTTAGATGTATTGTTTTTGTCAAGCTCCATTCCAAGTTGATATGCTTCATGAACTAGAGTATTTTCAGAATGATTTTGCAGTCACAAAATTATTATAATTTTTAGCCATTTACTGAACCATGAACACTTTCTTTTTGACTTCAACTCCAAATTCCTATAAAATGCATTTATTTAACGTCCATGGCTTAATCTATGTATTACATACAAATCATCAACATATATAACCCATGAAAGTTAAGCTAACACCCCTGTAACTGAATGGTTTGGTCTACATGCTGTGATTGGAAAACCACCACATAAGGTTACTAATGTGAAAGTATTCACAGTGATTTACCCTTTGACCTCCAAACACTGAATTAAACTAGGAAGTGAAAGGACCATCAAACTGCTGAGTGGTATCAACATTTTAATCATGTCTATGTTAACTCGGTTTTTAGGCAGCCCACTGGTATCAGGACAGGGTAATGTTGTAGATGTTACCAGTGTCACAGTGGAAGAGAAAAAGGACATCATCGGCAAAGAATCAGTATGTATTATTATCGTCTAAATGTCTGACTTTTTTGTGGATATTTTACAGATACTGAACTTGTAGGGTTGTTATAAGATTAAAAAGACAATAGGAAACAATAGCTAGATTAGTTCTGCAATGCCACTGGAGATTGAGAAGCCCCAGTTTTATTATTGGTGAGACCTGTCGGAAATAGATATGGATAGAATTATTGTTTACTATTATTACTGATATTGTGTATCGTGTTATATTATTATACTGCTATATACATCGTATATACCGCCTAAGCTCGAATGTAACAAAACGGGATACGACCTTGAACACTGTGTTATGAACGAACGTGAGAGGCAACACCACAATATTTGTATTGACCAATCACAGTATTGTAGATTTGTATCTAAGTTTCCCCGCTCGAATTCAGAATCCCCACGAGGGTATATAAGCATCCATTGTAATTGTTTCAGGGCTCTTCTATGTTATGTTCACGAATAAACAACTTGTGATCTACTCTTGAAAGTACTTGTCTTGTCTGACTGCTGGACTGCTGGTATTATAAAGAATATTACGTTCAAAAATACGACTTCCCACAAGACCCTTTACAATTTGAAGTTGTTATAATTGATGTTTTCATCGTCTCTTTTAAATAGAAACTTGTTTTTTGTTGTAAATCGGTTTAATTTAGTTAATTGAAATTTTATAGCAGTACATTTTGTGTATTTATTTAGATCACTGAAGTTTGAACATTTAATTGTTTACAGTACAATATTGTGAGGTTTATAACAGTACAGAATAATGTTTAACTTGTTTTTTAGCTGCGCTGTCGATTTTTTGAGCAGAGCTTATCATATTATCTGCTATCCGTGTCAAATTTTTACATTTTTGACTTCTTCTTGAAAACTACAAGCCTGAATGCTTTGATACTTTGTGTATATGTACCTTGGGTAGACCTCTCTCAATTTGTTCATTTCATAATGACATCTTTAATTTTCTAATTTTGATGAATATTTTTGTAATTTTTTGTAAAAAGTGATATTTTTAACTTCTCCTTGCTTTGATATTATATATATATATATATATAGGTACTACAGATGACCTCTCTCAGATTTGTGCATTTTCCGATATCTTCAATTCTTTAAATGAAATATGCATTGCTAACAGCGAAGCTATCTCAGCTGAGAGGCTGCTTGTTTCGCTGTTGCTAACTTAAACAATAACAGTGACAATAACAGTCTCTGAAGCTGAATCGTCTTTTCCTTGTGTCATAATTCCATAATTCTGTCTTACCACAGTGTTTCGTGCGATATCCATCATCCATATACTTTATTCTTGGGAATGAATTCTGTGAGAGATATAGCTACTATGGAATGAAAGGTAAGAAAATAATAATTTGTCATCCTGTCATCTTTTGCTCCGCTGTCGACTTTGTCGAGCGGAGCTTATAATATAAGTGATTGTCCGTCGTCGTTCGCGTCAACTTTTTACTTTTTCAATCGACTTCTTCTTGAAAAATACAAGTCTCAATGCTTTGATACTTGGTGTATATGTACCTTGGGTAGACCTCTCTCAGATTTGTTCATTTCATGATGATATCTTCAATTCTCTAATTTTGGTGAATATTTTTGTCATTATTAGTAAAAAGTGATATTTTCGACTTCTTGTTAAAAACCAAAAGTTCAATTGCTTTGATATTACATATATAGATACTACATGTAGACCTTTCTCAGATTTGTTCATTTCGTGATGATATCTTCGATTCTTTAATTTTGGTGAATATTTTTGTCATTTTTGGTAAAAAGTGATATTTTCGACTTCTTGTTAAAAACTGTAAGTCCGATTGCTTTGATATTACATATATAGGTACTACATGTGGACATCTCTCAGATTTGTTCATTTTGTGATGATATCTTCAATTCTCTAGTTTTGGTGAGTATTTTTGTCATTATTGGTAAAAAGTGATATTTTCGACTTCTTGTTAAAAACCAAAAGTTCAATTACTTTGATATTACATATATAGATACTACATGTAGATCTTTCTCAGATTTGTTCATTTCGTGATGATATCTTAAATTCTCTAATTTTGGTGAATATTTTTGTCATTTTTGGTAGAAAGTGATATTTTCAACTTCTTGTTAAAAACTGTACCGGTAAGTCAGATTGCTTTGATACTATACATATTGTTCATTTTCTAATGATGTCTTCAGTTCTTTAATTGAAATGTGCATTGCTAACAGTGGAGCTATCTCAGCCGATAGGCTGCTTGTTTTATTTTCTGATTTGAAAAAACAAATGAGAAAACAAGAACTAAAAAAAAAACTAAAATATATATGGCGAATTGGGCAATTATTCTTTGAATGTCTTCATTAAAAAAGAAATATTACAACAATGTTATGATTTCTAACAACACTTTATTGCCAGACAGCACAACCAATCCACAAGTGACCAATTTCCTTCTAATTCAGTTATGGATTTTTATCATTTTTCATTTCCTTTTACTTTTCTATTTATGTAACTTTCTTTTTTTAGACCTAGCAGCTGTAATTCCTAAGTCAGTATTGTGTCAATAATATTATTATTACCGGTATTAGTGGCAGAGGCATTAGCATCTGATATGATGATGAAATATTTTTCAAGGGCTTTGTGTAGGAAATATATTTCCTTTGGAATTCACAACATATATCACCAAAACTCACAGCAAAGTGACACAATTAGGGTTTGAAAATGTCTTTATCATCCCCAATCACATCTGATCTTTTTCATGTATTTTTAGTATGATTACATCAGTTTTATTATCAGTAAGATCTCAGAATCATGACTACTGTAAAAGGGTTAATTATTCACTGGGTTTTAATTTTGTTTATTTCGCTGACTAGAAAATGCGCTAAATTAAAACCCAGTGAATATGTAAAAATTAGCTTAGAACACATTATCTAAACGATAAAACTGTGAATTTAAAACCCACTGAATAAACCTGAAACGGTAAATCAGCGAAATTTAAACCCAGTGAAAATTAGTCATTTTACAGTAACACCATTACAATTTATTATTGTTAGCGTACATATTGCATATGTTTGTCTGAATAATTATATGTTATGTACAAGATTGTAGGAAGTATATTTCACATGTGGTTGCCAAGTTGCTTAAGAAACTAAGTCTAATGTATCCAAATTCTTGGAATGATTGAGATAATTGATCACATGAGTGTATTGAAAATGAATGATTGGTTTTGACAGCGTCATGAAAAGTGACTGTCACCTGTTTTTCCCCAATTGTTGTTGATATAATTTGAGTTTTTTCTAGAATATCCAGTAACTAAGAATGAATGAATGAAATTCTTTAATTTTGTGAAAGAAAAATTGTTGTTATTTTCATCGGGGAAATTCACAAAATATTGTACAAGTGAAGCTAGCCTTAAGGATAGGTCATCAAAGTTCTTAGAAATTACTGATGTATTGCCAGTAGATTGTCTATTGTTATACCAGGTCACATGGATTAAAACAAAATTAGGCTCAAACGTGTTATTTTACCGTGATTGAATAATGAAAATTAAGATAAACTAAAGATGATGAACAATGTTTTTAAGATTGTGTGAAATATTTTTCCCCTGAGATTTTTGCATGCAGAAATTTTTTTTTTTCTGTGCAATTTCTTGTTTCAAATTCTGTCATTCCCCCCTGAATTTTTTATGTTTTCTTATGTGGCAAAAATTAAATTCATTGCGGTAATTTCAAGAACAAATTTCAAATTTAACAATAATTTGTTGCCGTGAAAATGACACTTTACCAAACATCGAATTTCATAAATGATAAACACAAAAATTTAAATCTCAATTTATGTAAAATATCAATTATAAGAGATTAAATAATAATTATTTTCAAAATCATTTTAAATGTGGAAGGTTATGTTTTATATACAAGTCTCACAAATAAATTAATCATTGTTTGTTCTTTTTGTTTACATAGCGATTCTTGTGTTGTACTTCACTGAAATATTACTCCTGAACCGAGCGACTGCCACTTCACTTTACCACACCTTCACACTACTATGTTATCTTATGCCCATATTTGGCGCTATGATTGCTGATGGATGGTGGGGCAAATACAAGTAAGACAATTTTGATCAATTCTGCTCGCTATGTTGAGAAAATAGCAACAAAATAATCGTGTGTAAAATTGTTTATACACTAGAGCTATTGTGGTTATTCTATCTGTCTGTCTGTCTGTCTGTCTGTCTGTCTAATCTGTTTTTCATAAAACTTGTTACATCAGGCTTGTATGTCATGTATCGTTTTTCTACTGTTAGCACATTTTGTCTTCACCTGTATTCAGTGGTTGTTGATTTAAGTTTGCACATCAATGCAGGTCATTAACAGTCAAGTGTGTACATCGACTAACTGATCAAAGATGGCCTATTGGTGGCTAGCTCGCTTTTTTTCTGGAATTTGATAATTTTTTGCCTGCTTTCTTCCAAAGTTTTACTGATTAACAATTGAATGATTTTTCCATGTTCCAGGACCATATTCATCCTGTCTTGGGTCTACCTAGCTGGTAGTTGTACAATGTCACTCACTGCACTGCCCCCACAGACAACAGGAAGTCCTTATTTGTAAGTATGCATTATCCAGCGAGAAAGGATTGCTTTTAATTTTATTAGTAACAAAAGTTGTTATCACATCTTTGTTTGCCAAATTGTGTCCTCATTGTTAAATGTTTTAAATTATTTTGTTTTCATGAATGCTCACCATATCACTGTAAAAGATTGACATCCAATAATTTGGGTTATCTAAACTCACCGAGAAAATACATGAGTTGCTGTGTTTGAAACTTGAACTTGGGGGCTCAATTTGATAGCACCAAGGCTAGTCTAAAGCGGGGGAGTCGTCACCTGCGCATGCGTCAGACGACCATAGCGTGTCATTGTTTACAAACAAGCATCTACCCATGAGCCTTTGCATGTTTAGAGTGTGTTGTTATCTTTGCTTGGGACTCAATTCCTGCGCATGCGCAAGTGATGACCCTCCCGCTTTAAGTACTTTTTTGCATACTATGTGTGATCAATTCTGACTATTATTTCTGATCATAAACTAAAAATGATTATTTGAAGAAACAGAATAGTATGTATTTGATGAGGCAGTGAACTGTGCAAATACCTTTGAATTAGGAATTCAGAAATTCAGAGCACATGTGTTGAAATCAAAATTGACCCCCAAATGCATTTGAAAGTATCTAAGTATTCCAGATGCTATCAGATTAAAGGCCAATAACACAGAAAATGACACAAGAAGAAAAAAATATGCTGAGGGAGGCCCATAATAATGATTTTGGAATTATCATGTGACTGCTTTTGACCAATAACATTAACTGTCTCATAGGGATAATTACGAATTTCCAAATATTGACCAAAAATACTCAATGTTAGCATTATTGCTTTTTATATATAAATTACCGATAAGAATCAGATATATATCCAATGTTTGTAAAACTACTATTAAAACGTCTATTCACCTCCATAGATGGGGTCCTGCTATTGCTTTGTTACTGATAGCCATTGGAACTGGTGGCATCAAACCTTGCGTATCTGCATTTGGTGGAGATCAGTTTAGAAAGGACCAGGTAAATTGCTTTTCTTCTATTTTAATCCATTTATCTTTAGATTCATATAAAATAGGTTATTTTAACTCTAAATATAGAAGTTAAAGAAAATTTAATCAACACAGTTTCAGAAATCCATTGAGAATGTTTTCTAAACTGAAACAGTTTTGCATTAAAATATTTTTATTTAGTGAAAAAAAAAGGTTGTCAATAGTCTCGTGCTTGTGAAAGCAGTGATGTTGAAACCAGCTGGTAGCTGGTCAAAATAATAACATGCTACTCATACCACTTAATAAAATACTAGCTACATGATTTTCAGCAATAAAAAACAAAAAAATAGTCAGGCAGTGGTTTTGACCACCTACAATACAATACATATATTTGAAAACAAAACTACATCAGATGTTTAATCAGTTAAATGAAGATACATAAATTGTAATAGTTTTATGAATTTGATAAAATTTTGATATTTTCTCTCTATTTCCCTTGATAGCCAATCATTTGTCTGTCAATGGTCAGAGTCGCTGTTTTTAGACTAGAATTAATGCAGAAAGGAGAAAAATATAAACAGATTTGAACAATTTTTGAAAAATATTTTGGTGAGAGAATTTTTCTGATTCTTATCATTGTTTTTGCAGGTTCAAGAAATCCAAGTTTTCTTTTCCATCTTTTACTTTGCAATTAACTGTGGTAGTTTGTTGTCGACTTTCATTACTCCAATTCTTCGTGAGGATGTCCAGTGTTTCGGAAACGACTGTTATTCTTTGGCGTTTGGTATTCCAGCTGTTCTTCTATTTATCGCTATATGTAAGTACTGTCAGATAATCAGCAATATAGTGTTTTACTTGTCATGTGGGCAGGCATCCAACCAAAATATTTCCTTATACATTTGTAAGATATGCTGTAAACAACAACAACATTCAAACTTTACAGTGTATGATGACTTACATATGCCCGCTGAATTTATGTTACCATTAACACGCACGCTCCCGGATAGTTAGTGATAGATAGTTGTTTCATAATTCAATTTGAAAAAAAAAATCAAGCCATTTCTTCAATTTCGTAACTAGATCTAATTTTTTTTTAAAAATTGGTACAATACATTATTAGACGATGGAATATCTAAATATTTGTGTCTACCGTGTTTTAGTAAACTGACAAAGCTATCGAAACTGATAACATACATATCACCTTGCCCGATTTCGTTGCAACAAACACGTAAATGCCCTCAGATACAGCACTAAGCACTTTCTTTTGATGGTCAGTAAGCCCGTTCACAGAGCAAAAAGCTAGCAACACGTTGATTTCTACAATACATTATTTGACACAACTTCACAGATTAATTCTGTGGACCACTTCATGAGACACAGAATGGGGAAAGTTTGGGTGATATAGGCAGTACATGTTTATCATGCGGGTTTGGAACTGGTGGTGAAAGTTGTGTGGTATTCACTTGATCTGATATAGAATTAGAATATTTATCATGTCCTGTTCATTAGGTGCACATCAGTTAATGCACATCTGTAATGAATTATTCGTATCACGTTTTAGTACATACTGTAAACCGTTTAAGTTTTGCTACTTGCTACTTTTTCTATTATGATGATTTTAAAGCGAGAGGGTCGTCACCTGCCCACGTACAGGAATTGAGTTACAAGCGACAATAACAACACATGGTAGAAACACAAAGGCTCATGGGTAGACGCTTGTTTGTAAACGATGACACGCTATGGCCATCTGACGCATTTATGGGGAATTGCACAAAAGTCACTGACTCTCAGTTTTGTACGAACCCAGAAGAATTTTCGTGACAAAATTTTGCACTGACTCGTAAAAATTTATTTCTTGCTAAATTAAAAGAAAATTTACATGTTTTAGGTCAAAGGTCAGGCATGTGACCATGAAAGCAACGTAATATACCGGTACCTTGAAATTTTGTCATTTCAGTACTATTCATTGTTGGGCGATATACAGTTGGTTATAAAGAATACCCGTCTCATGGTAACATAGTATGGAGAGTCTGTAAGGCAATAGGGGTAAGTATAAGCTGGTTAAAATTATGTAATATTAGTTGATAATACTGGTAGTTAGGATAGTTGATTGTTTAACCAATTCGATTACTGGGGTGGTTGATTATACTGGTAGTTAAGTGTAGTTGATAACCTAGTTGATAATATGGGTAGTTAAGAATAGTTGATTGACTAGACTAGTTGATTAGTTGATAATACTGGTAGGTAAGTATAGTTGATTGAATAAGCAACAGAAAATTTGGGTTGCAACAAATATCCACAGACTAGCAATATAGCTTCAAGAGTTTGAGTATATGTTAGTTGATAGTTTGAATTGTTAATTACATGTTTTATTTTATTTTGAATGATTATATCCACAGCGTGCTATTAAGAATAAAATTATATATGGAAAAGAACGTAAATTTGAACATTGGTTGGATTATGCATCTGATAAATATGATGTAAGTAGAAACTTTTGTTTTTAAGTGTGACAGCGCCCTCTATTGTAGACTAGCAAAGTGATGTTCAAATAACTGTAGAGGGCATCCTCACACTTTCCAAGGAGAATGTTTATGACTCCCCAAGCTGATTAAAATCTGATGTAGTGTAGTGTAAAAAAAATCTCAAAATCAAAGTAAAATAATAAAAAGGCATTAATAACAAAAGTAATAAAATTAAAATAAGTTTATAGCCAAAATAATTAAAGCCCGTACACTACATCAGATTTTAATCAGATTGATGACTCCCAAAACATTCACTGACACAACAAAAATGGCAAAAAATCCGGAAATATTTTGTCACATTTTGTGATAATACCCTGATTGATTTGCCAAATATAACCACCAATTTTTGTGTCTCAGCAAAAATGTAGACTTTAAAAATTTGTTTCTTTTCATATAGTGGAACATTTACAATCATTCCAAATACTATAAACAGATCAGATTTTTTGAAAGACTAATTTTTAAATTTTTTTAGCAGTGAATATATATCCACTGGGTCCTAATAAATGTCTCATTGCCAAATTTTTGGCTCTTTTCATATTAACTTGGTAAAGACATGTATCAAATGCAAAATTATGTACATTTGGTTCAACATGGATACGTGTACTATAGAAAAAATACTCAGTACATAGAAATGCCAAAATTTGACACCGGCTCTCGCTACGGTTACTAGAAGATAAGTTAGGAAATTTTCTTGGTTCTTTTGTTAGAATGCGCATCTCAGTAAATATTTAAAACAAAGGGGAATTAGCATACTGCCAACATTGTGGCTATAATAATTTGCTTCTAATGACAGAAACTTTGTGAACTGTTCACCTCACAATCCCCTTCGTTCTCCACACACTGTTGCCAGAAGTATTCAGTTCATATTAAGCGACTTTACGAACTTGTATTTATTGGTATGCCCAAAGTGTTTTTTCCTTCTGATTTCTATTTTTTGAATATTATTCGATTGGGATTTTTAGTAATGGCATATCAGGATTTGGTATGAATAATAACACTGAAATAAAAAAAAAGTATATTTAAACTGCACCATGAAACCATACAACTTCCTGTGTCATTCACAGCAGTTAGGGGGAAAAAACAAGATGGCCAACAAATTATGTTAGGAAAAAAAATTGAATTTAAAGGAATAAGAGGGTAGAGGACATGTGGGAGACGATGCATTGTGAGTATGAAAAATTAAATTAAATTAGGATACAAAATTATGTATCACACAATCAGCACCAATCACCACAGTAAATGCTTGCAAACTGATGACATAAATTACCATAACAATTAAATCAAAATTGGAATTTTCATCCTAATGAATACCCCTTGATTTACCAAATCAAATCACAATAATTTTCATTGTAATTGCTTCTAATCAAAAACTGCTATGCTGACAGTGATCTATTTACTACTTATCCTACAGGCAAGATTAATTGAAGATACCAAATGTATGCTTCATGTCCTTATCATGTACATACCATTACCACTGTTTTGGGCGTTATTTGACCAGCAAGGCTCCACATGGACTTTACAAGCAACACAGATGAATGGACAACTTGTATGTATTATTCAACTTTTTATATTGCTCATATTTTTGATTGATAGGGTGTATAAAAGCAGAATGCTGTGAGCCTCGCTTTCACCATAAGCTCGAGACTCCCTAGGTCAACTGATTTCAATGACAAAGCTGAGTAGCTGACGTTCGGTTCCTTGTTTATGAGTGTCCCACCGAAAAATAAAATTCTCTCCAGTCGCTGTCTGTTTTGGGCTGTTTTCTCGCTATCTGCACATTTTCACAGGCCCAAATACCTCTCAATAGACTATATAGTGAGTTCTAACAACATTACAAAGGCTGAATGCCACTTTAATACATCAATTTTTAGGCTTGTTTACTATTACTTAGACTTGCTGATATGTTCTGTATGAATTAAAAATAGTTTTCTTGCAGTAACCCGTCAAAAAAAAAATTAAATACTCGTACACAATATAAGATGCAACATTTCAAGTATGCCCTGGTAAAAAAAAACATACCGGTATCCAATTATCACTTATTCAGATCTGATATTTTTTAATCAGAAAATAACTTTTTTTTGATCATAAATTATGATGGAATGCTTCAAGAATTTTGTTTTGATCAATATTAATAAAGGATTTCTCAGTTCCCTGGAAGAATTCGCATCAAGCGTGAAATTGAACATAAAAATAGGACAAACATAGGTTATAGTAGCATCAAAACATCAGTGGTGAATTTTGATAAAGTAAAGATATCTAAATGCAGTATTATCCTCTCAAAGATTAGTCTTTTAGCATTGAGCTGTAGAAAGAAATTCAAGTTTAAAATCAGATGTTTGTTTCTCATCTTTCACATATTACGAAAGATCTCACTGTGAACTGAAAATTCCCTATTCTTGTGGTGGTGAGAAAATATTACAATAGACCTTACTAAGATGAAAATGACTACAAAGATTTTGTTGAGAATGAGACAGTAAATGGAATGATGGGAGAAAAAGAAAAACTGCCTATAGTAGTATATTGTAAGTAACTCGGTTGAACATTGATGTTTCGGTAACAATGTTATTTTTATGTTTTCAGGGTGATTCACAGGTAACAGTTAAGCCAGATCAAATGCAGGTAATGTATTCATTGGAATATGGTGGGCATAGTTCCAAATGGGAACTTACATTTCCGGGTTTTTTTGTCTGTACATCTGTGTGCTGTTAAAAGTCACTTTTCTGACATGCTTGGGCTGATTTTGTCAGGTCAAAATTTCAGACATATGAAAGTCAATTCGATTTTTGTTCAGTTGACCTTTGACAAACTAAGGGCAATTTATGTTCAGAAACTTTCCAAAATCAACATCTTAAACTTTTAAAACTATTTTTCTGTATTGACATTAACCATGACTGGTTACTGATTTACCACATTTTGTTTTGTGATTTGATTCAAAATGGCCCTGTAAGCCATTTTTTTAAATGTTTTCTATTTGTTTTGTTCAAAATTGGTACTAAAAGCAGATATATTTGTTTTGTTTTTTTCTCAATAATTTTTAACCAACTCAACTGTTGGCCATTTTTTGTCCAAAAAACTGAAGTCCCAAAAATTCAACAGGTCATCAAGAATATTTTGGGCATGCCTTGGCTGACGAAACTTGGTATGATCATTAGATATAATGATATGTTACAGTGGCTTGCTTGGTTTTATGTTTCTTGACCAATTTTGTTTGTACAAAGATGAGGGATTATGGTATCCATAGACAAATTAAATGTTTCAAAAATACAGATGGGAAGTATATTAACCATGATTTGTTTACTTTATATATATATATATATATATATTTAGAAAGTTAGTGTTGACTTTTAAGTATCATTTTACGTTATGATGGACCAAATCTTAAGAAACGTCGTGACACATGCTGCTATACTGTTCTTGGAATAATTAATATTATACATGGTGGTAGGAGTGGAATTCAAATCCATCCCATTGAGAAGATAAAAGGGATAACATACTAGACATTTTGGTGTAAAAATTTGTTTCTTATATTTGTTAGTTTCCACTGGGACGAGGTCCAAAAACGGAAACTTCTAGACCACTTTGTATTCGTTTGTGTGTCTTGTCATTTCATGAGTTTTCTGACCAATCACATTCAAACTTACATACATACATTATTCATCTTAGGATACACATGCACATCCATTCAATTCAAATGGCCGACTGGTGGCCATTTTGTTTTTGACAAATTCTGTTCCAGAACCATGACATGCTTTGACTGATCATTTTCAAACTTTATACATTATGCGATGATACATCATATCACACATATGTTAATACATGTATGCGCATAAAGATCAGATTTAAGATGGCTTAATGGCAGCTTAATTTTAATGTTTTTCTGCCATGCTGGACGCAGATGTTTAAGCTGGCTGAATGGCAGCTTAATTTTAATGTTTTTCTGCCATGCTGGACGCAGATGTTGATCATACTTGGACAGCTTTGTTGAAACTTGGTACATACATTGAATGTAGCGAGATTTGAAATGCGGAATGACAGAAAATTTGCATTAACATATGCTGTTCTACGCTATAATCTCTTACTTACCTTGACTGATTGTAATGTAATTTTACCACTACATTGTACATCATGTCACATACCCAGTATATTCTGATTCAAAATGATAGACTTATTTTATAGTTTACTATTGATCAACAAGAACTCTGTCATATCATGACCTGGTTTGTTTTTTTAATACCTTTTAATTTTTTATTTTTAATAGGTTTTAAATCCGTTTCTCATCCTGCTTTTGATTCCTATCTTTGACAACATTATCTATCCACTCCTAAGATATTGTAACTTCCGATGTACACATTTACAGCGCATGAGCTGTGGTATGTTATTTGCGTGTTTGGCCTTCGTCTGTTCTGGTGTAATTCAGATTTACGTCAACGTAAGTACATTTATTTCAGTTGTTATTGTGATTGTTAAAACACTGTTCTCCAGATTGCATTTAAAAAGAACAAAGTTTGTCATACAGGGTGAAGTACGAAAAAGAAAACAAATTATGCTCACTGAAGCTACTAGAAAAAGACTATATACTAAATGGCTTTATTAGAAAAAAATGTATTTGCTAGTAGTGTTTTGAATGGTGATATTAGAAAAAAAGTGGTAGAGTGAATTACTTAGAAATGATTTGAGTGTCTTGTCAGTCTTGAGTTGAATTGTAAAGTGAACTATAAGTTTAAAAAAATGTATTTATATTTTTGTTTTAATTTTGTTAACCCTGGAGAAATTATATCATAGTTTGTCTCAATAACACGAAGACATATATTGCCCCAATGTTTTGTTGTACTTTTTGTGAATCATGTGAAAGCAACCCCTTGTACCATTTCTCATATTAATCAAATACTTAAATGAAATGTATTCCAAGTTAGTGTAATGGCAATGTGACTGTGTTACTCCAAACATTCTACGTTGCTATGACAAATGTATCCTCGGGGGCAGACATCCGGGCATTTTCACCGCCTGGCAACCCTCGCGGTGAAAACAAAGGCCAAAAACTCACAGAAAACGGTACTTTGGGATGATTGTTGAGACTCCCATGAACAGTGTGATAAAATTATCCCTACGTGTGTAACATATATAAATTTGGTTGTTCAGAATTACTTCAAAGTTGAGTTTGTCTTGTTTTCTCGAATTTTCACCGGCTCGACCGGCGTTCCACAGCAGCGCGAACAGAGCCCATAGAAATACATGTATTGTGGTGCACGTCTTAGCAACGTGGAACGTTCTGTGATGTAGCTTCGCTCCCGAGGATATGATCAAATCATGTATGGTTATCTTAATCTACCTCATTGCCAAGCGCCCTCTATGTCATGCATCTTCAACTTTGTCTTAATTATTGTAATATCATACATTTTTCTAGGAAGGTGTTCGTATTCCGCCCACATCCAGCCAATCAGGTGTCACCGTTATAAATGCAGCACCATGTGGTATTGGTTTACAACAAACTCATGGTTCACTTGATTCATTGTATGTTCCATATAAGAAGGTATGAAATAAAACATTGCTTTTATCTTTGACATCTATTCACCAAATATACTGAATATTTTCTTTGGTTTATTCTCCTGAAGACTACAAGCAAATTAGCTACAAAGTTGGACCACTAAAAATGTTTAAAGTGCTATATACTGTTGTCATTCTGCGCCATTAAATAAACGGACAATTTGAAAAAAACGTATTAACGTATTTAATTGCAGCAACAGACTGATTAAAAACATGAATTTTAAAATCAACAACCAAGACATAACAGCTGTTAGCGAGTTTTGCTATTTAGGGGCAATATTTACTCCAAATGGGAAATTTAAAACAAACTTATCTATGTTAAAAAATAAATCAATGAAGGCTCTTTTCAGCATCAGACAAACAGTCTTAAACCACAAAATAATTTCACCAGCACTTAGTTTGAAAATTTTCGACCAATTAATTTCACCTATACTCATGTATGGTGCAGAAATCTGGGCCAATGAAATCACAACTGACAGTAACAGTTTAGAGCAAGTTTGCAGTCATTTTTACAGGTTTATCCTAGAGTGAGTAAAATGACGCCAATTAGTGGTTTGAAAGCAGAACTTGGTAGGTTACCAGTAAAATTAAAAATTAATTTGGGCTCAATTAAATACTGCCATAGACTATATAGTCTGCCAGATATCACATTTTAAA